AGGGTACTCAAACCACATACTAAATACAGGACATGCATACGGAACAATAACAGAGGTAATGGAAGTTGTAACAACGGGAAAGAAGGGCAGACATTTGAATACATTAGAGAAATACCATATATATAAAATAAGTAAGAAAGGCCTACACATGAATGATACACACATAGAAACACACAATTCCATATTTCAAACGATACACGACATCTATACAGACTAACGGTACCTCCCTCTCCCCACTATCCATTCCCCCCTACACTCACAAACATAAAACTCAGCACACAGTACATCAGACAGCACACGTAGTAAAGAATAGCAGCGGCACGCACACAGAAAGACCACACAGGTTAAGTACAAATAACAATATACACACATAAGAAAACACCACATACATAAAATGGTAATACAAATATATTTGTATATTACAGATAACACCTATACAGTGTGGAAACAAGAACTAGCCGCTGCAGCACTTCAAACACAGGGCGAATAACCCTAACAATTTTAAAATTTTAAAATTTGCACAAGAATTTAAAGTTTTAAAATTAGAACTAAAGATTTTATTATGGTGCTATTACAATAAAGTCAAAATTAACGTGTGTGAAGTAATCTACGGGTGGACAGCTATCAACGAAGTAGAAGTTGATAATGACAGGGAGAGTATTTTAGATGTTAAATTTTGAACTGGGTGCAGTGTGACAGCGACGTGAGTGTTATACACCTGATGATGGCCGTCTGAGGCCGAAACATGTAGTGTAGGGAGCAAGATCAAAAGACACAAAATATATTGTTTGCACTTGAGACGGAGTTTATATCATTTATTGTATATGAGGTTGAATGGGCCCAAGATTCGATCTGCACTCAGTGTAGAAAAGAAAAATCCCTTGCCCATTTCTGAAATCGAACTTCCAAGTCCTCGGACGTCGCTACAATGACTGAGCTACCCATTCTCCTCTTATAGTATACTAATTATGATATTTAAATTAATATCTGAACATAATCTGTGTTAGCTATATTCATATCGCCCTTTATTGTGTAAGTCCTGCAAAGTAAAAGAAAGTGAAGTTGTCCTTTCGTTTAATTAATTAAGCATCAGACCATAAAGACGTATGGTGGAATGGAGGTATTGCTCCACCTTTCTTGACTTCGGCACTAGATGACAGTGAGTCGTTAGCTTTACGTCCCGGCAGATTTACCGCCAATGAAAGAGCCCCCATTATCTAATGGAAATAGGCTGATTTGTAATTCCAGTTATAAACAAAGCATGGTTCTCAAAGAATCAAAACCAATCGGACAGAACCATTGCTTCAACCTTAATTATGACATGTCTGTGTGAGATCCGGAGTACAGACGTTACCTCAAAAGTTCATGAGTACATAGTCTTCCGCGTCGGTGCCTTCATCAGACGTGCAGTAGTTGTTTTTCGTTGCTATTTTCAAAATATTCTTCCTAAGCTGTTCCTCACTTCTGCTGAGTAGACGCTGGGAGCCTGAAACAGAAATAGTGCCATGGCTGAACTCATTGAAGAAAATAAAGAAGTAACACAAGAGATTATTACAAGTTTTAGAATTTTTTTTTTTCTTGGCACTATAGCCCCTTTGGGCCTAGGCCTACCTCCATGAACTCCGTTCACTTCGGTTTTTCTAGATCTTATACATTCGGTAGGACTCCTTGGGCGGGTGATCAGCTCGCCTCAAGGTCTCTACCTGTAGACAAACACAGAAAAACGCACACACACATCATGCCCTGAGTTGGATTCGAAGCCACGATCCCGACTTCCGAGCGAGCGAAGACAGTGCATGCCTTTAGAAATTTTTAGCGCAAGAAAAATGACTACAATTTTCTAAATAGCAATTAGTGACCTGTTTCTAATTTTCTAATTGTCAGAAGAGACACAGGTCATGCTCCCACAAACCCATATACTGTAATAAAAGGCATGTTTGGTTAGAAACAAAGGCAACGCTCTGTATTACTCATGCATAGGCCGCACATTTTTTGCCAGAAATTCAAGAGGAAAACTGGGGTGCGGCTTATATTCGAAATATTCGAAATCACACTTCATTTAAAAAAATTATATTCATAATTAGTAATACAGAGTGTAATACTCCTGAAATAATATTCCAAGAAAATTATTTTTTTCTATAATTTCTGTCTGCAAATTGTGCTGCGGCCTATACACGCACGCGGCCTGTGCATGCGTAAATACGGTATTTAAAAATATATTTCTCAGAGCTGTTAGGAATATTGTTATTTTGTAATATCAAAAGGTTTTTGGATCGAACAATTAGTCACGCGCATTAAAACTACAGTCGGGAATAAAAATGTTCATATTAGAGAATAAAACTGTGTGTAATGAAGCAAATTTATAACACAATTAAGAGATCAGGTTACTACAACTAATTTTTGTGGTCTTTTCATATGTACAATTGTGAATACAGACAACATATAATACCAAAATCTCTCCTCAGGATAAATCATGTCTTACCAACACGCCAATAAGATAAAGTCAAGTTAAAGAATAAACGACTAACAGGTCTCACGAAAGCTTATAAGAACGAAAGTAAATATTACAAATTTAAACTGCAAATTTGGATTAGCCTTTTGCGGTGTATAAGGTATTTATGCATCGTGCCCTGAGCAGAATTCAAATCCTACCAAAGAAAATTGAGAAGGAAATTGGAAATCAAGGCCTTAATGATTTTGGGCCCTTTGATCGGGATGCAGCTTCATTTCTATGTTATTGAAATGTAATTTTCTCTTTTATAATTTGATTCAGTGAAAATATTTCTATTTGTCTTAAAGATCATTTAGGCCTTAAAGAAAAATAAGCACTCTAAGTATTCAAAAGGAATTTTATGGGCTATTGTCAGCGGGATAGCTGAGTTGGTATATCGAATGGGCTACAGGTTGGACGACCGAAGAATCAGGGTTTGATCGCTGGTAGGGACAAGAGAATTTCCCTTCTCTACAGGCTCCAGACCAGCTCAAGTGGCCTCACCTCATCCATGCTTATATGCTCTTTCCGTTTCTATTTAAATGTTCCCATTCATAGGAATTTTAAGAGACGTGGCTGATGACTTGCTGAAGTTCCACGATGTATTAAAACTCAAGAAATAATGACATAAGCCCAGGACCATCAGACTGAATGACAAGAAAGAAACGTGGATTTCATTTTTCAAATTCCTGATTTTCCGAGTTCATTTTCTTTAAAATTTACCACAATTATTAATTTAATCTTTTGTTTCGGACTTTACGCATGCATATCACTCTCAGAATTAGTAGAGCATATTTATATTTGAATTAAATTAATGTAAGATATTTTCGAAAGAGTACATAAAATTCTGAGGCAGGTGATAAAATGCACGCAACTAAATTCAATGCACTTAGGGCAGTTCCTGTCCCAATATTTTTTATGAACACTGGGCTATCAAAAGATCTGACAAACTGGAATCGAAGCATTAAAATAGGTTTTCTGAGACCAATTGCTGGACAAAGATATCAAGGTCCGATAAGGAATACCAAATTAAGACAACAATTGAATATCTATGAATCAATGGGAAGGAAAAGAGCGGAAATGAGGAAGGTATCAAGACACAATGAGAATGAATGGAAGTTTCCCAAACAGATCAATACACACCAAACGGGTGAAGAGAATTACGTAGTATATAGATATACACGAAGGCGGGAACATTATTTTCATAACTTGCTTCCTTGACGATGGAAAAGGTTCAGAAGATATTAATCCATGTGAATAAATAACGAAATTATGTTGAAATCCAAACGACATACCTGAATATTAAGGTAATCTTTTGCGAACATTTAGAGTACAAACAATTGCAAATGTTGGACTTACTGATTATATTACATAAGATTCATTTCACAACGAATTAAGAAATCATATCAGGGTACGAAAAAATCAAATATCTGCTTGTGGCTATTTCTGATATAGTAATAATGTCCCATATTAGCTTGTCTGTGTACAGAAATACAAATCATACCGAAACAGAAAGCATAAGTTCAGACCTGTATTTTGAAGGGAGTTCTAGAGTCTAGAGTGCTTATATTTACTATATGTGGGGGTATGCGAAATAGTTTCAACAGAGTAAAGTTGAAACAGACGTTCTAATTCTTTAGACTTCTCAATATTGCGGCGGTTTCCCATCAGAATATGCAGTTCGTTGTCTGCTGTTGTGTGATCCGGTGTTTGACTCCGCTAACAGAAAGTCTTACAGGAAGTAAGTCTTAAAAGATATTTGTCTTCTGGGAATAAGGTCATTCACTCCGTTGAGAGTCAACATACCTTTCGGAGGAACATGGCACCTCCATCTTCAGGATTGAAGGATAAACCAATCAAGAACCCAGGGTGAAGTAGGTTGCAAGCAGTTCTTTGTGCTGATTTCTTGCTTGACTTATTCTTTGACCCTGAAGATAGGGATGATAAATTGCTCCGAAATGCCTGTTAACTTTCAGTGGACTACACGGCAATGTATTCAATAAGACAGAATTCTTCATGACCACCGGTGTGAGAACGCCAGACACCACAGGAATTATAAATTTTGCACTATAAAATTTGTATACTTTCGAGTATAATCTTAGGGTTGTGACTTATAGTACGATGTGAAAGTTCATTCTAGAGACACTTTCTACATGATGATGTCTTTGTGACACGTGTCTGCAACATGATCACAAACTAGGGGAGTAGGACAAGTGCCACAAGTGTGGCAACTAACGCCAATCTGCCGCAGCAATATCTGTATCGTTTTTTTAACTTGCAGTCAGTCGCTGTAATTTATTGTAAGATATCTTCAGGTATTTTCGGAAACGCACCAATAAATGTTTTCTGGAGATGCAAATTTTAATAAATTAGGAAGGAATCGATGTCAAACTTAACTGAATTTCTGTTGACAGCCGTTAGATATTATTTTTCATTCAAGCTCTGTTCCCTAAAGGAAACGCTTACACGTTTCACTTCCCCCAAAATCATAAATAAAGCTTTTCTGTACTCAATTAAGTCATCAAGTATTTATTTCATGGCAGATGGGCTCTTCACCATTCAATCCAGACATATTCACAGCTGATGATTTTGCCTCAACGTTCGTCAAAGGCAGGCCGGGTGCAAACAGACAAACAATAAGCAGAAAATCAAAGAGTCATCCAGACTTTGCCTGGACCGAACGAAATGGATGTAAGGGCCATTGTGAGAACCACAGTATTCAGAAAGTGCAGTTACTCCGACAAGTGTGGCAAAAATTTTGAAAAAAGAAATAGTCAAAGAACAGCGATAACTGGAACTCTGCATTCGTTACATCTAAGTGGTGCAAATTTTATTGATAATTTGACGTACAGGCACATTGCTAGGCAACGGGTCAGTAAACAAGCCTTCTAAAAAATAGTGTGGATTATAAAGAGACAAAGAAAGTCGATTGAGTTACCAGAAGTTCAGAGAGTTCAGGTGAAGGATAGCTGAATTGTTGTCAAGGATTCGGTCTGGAGTTCTGGAGATGGCAGCCGAAGGTGCTGGAGGAGAAATGGTAAGGAAGCAATTAGTCAGTACAAAGAAGACTTCACGTGTGATTTGAAGTGAGAGTGACACTGTTATAAATCCGTTGTCAGGATACGGCTAGTGAAGATTGAGAACCCTAGTGCGTGTATAACACCGATAGCGCTGTGTCGCCTGTAGTCCCGAGTTGTGTGACTGCGGTGTCAATAAATCCAATCATTCAATCCAAAACCCGCCTTGTAACACTCGAGTAAACTTCCCTTCACGTGACAATACTTAGGCCGCATTGTGACTCATAATTACAGGAAGTATGATGATAACTGCTGTCATTTCTTTGATACAAACTGTATCCAGGAACAAACTTGTGGGACATCTGGTGAACTGGGTTTTTTCTTGACGAATGTCTGAATGTATATGTGTCTGGATTATTTTCATACTCCTCTTAGTTGAAATTTGCAGACCTGTAAGTAGCTGGTCTCAAGACTTTAGGTGAATTTATTGTGAGAGGCACAAAACATTACTACACTTTTTCTTACCATCACCTCAGACCCCATCTTTGATTTTTCAAAATCCTGCACCTCACTCCACAAGAAACAATTTACAGAAATCCGCCACCGAACATTTTAGGCGTACAACTTACATTCGGGAACCTTTTCTAAAGTACACTTGACATATATGACATAAGCCTATCTTGGTTGAGTGACCCTTCAACGAATCCAGCTATAGGCTGTGGAAAGGTACCAGTAGACAGCGACAAGTATTATTTACTACGATCACAAAGGATAGCTAAAATAAATATTAAAATTTTTACAAAGGATCATATCACGACTATGTGAATTGTTTATTTTCCCATCTGGACAATGGAATATTATTCTCTATTTAAAGGAAGCCTGAAGGGGGATTAGATAGACAAGGCATGTAGCACGAATGGGGGAGAAGAGGAATGTATATAGGATATTGGTGGGAAAACCAGAAGGAAAGAGACCACT